CCACCCACTCGACACGCACGTGCCACCCTATGATGGTCAGAAAAATCGCTGTCGACACCGGTTGCAGATATACGAGAATGACAGCCAGACATAGGCACGACACCCAGAGGCTAGTCAGAGAGCTCGACGTCGAGCGCCCACTGATCTAAGACATGGTTGGTTGACGAAGCGGTCGCCTCCCGAGGACATTCCGTAAAACCGCTCTCTCAATCTTAGCTCGCAGCGTTTTTGTGACGAAGAAAGCAAGGATCCCCAACGTCAGGGCACCGCATCGCAGATCTTCCTCTTGGCGAGTCGATCTGTTTTTTGAAGGCCGGGAGGCTCTGTCTACTGAGGTTTCCGGCGAGATGCCCTGATTGATGGTTTTCCGCTTCATCTCTGCTCCGGCTATCGTATTTCTCGTCGTGTCTGTGCTCGGGTGTACCATCAGACCATCTGAGAGCCGATTTTCTTCGCTGTGCATGCCGCTGACGGCCGCGGGAGGGTTGAAGGACCATGTGACCTACGGGAGAGGGGCGGAGGGGGGGAGCTGGAGGTGGCGATGGTGCGGCGGGCCGTGGGGACGGCTGCTTGTCCAACTGATCTTCCTGATCCTAATGCTCACGGGCATCGCCTCGGGGGGGACAGGCAGACGGCGGCCATCACGAGCACTCAGAGCACCAGGTACCTACACACAGAGAGGGAGGGCTTCACGCACGTTAAGTGTTCGTCTCAGCTGCTGTGTGTTGTCGTCTTGTGTTTAAACTATTGGCGTAGGGGCTTCTTCTCCTGCATCTGAGTGCGCGCCAGGGTGTCCGAGTTCGTTCGTCGGCGACGGCATATGCGACCCGGAGTGCTTCGTCTCAGACCAATGTGACAACGACGATGGCGACTGCGGTACGTGTGCTGTGCTGTGCCCTCACTCAACTCATCTGCTGTACTGTACTGGCCCTTCACTCACTGTGCTTGATTCTTGATGTCAACAACTGTGACTTACTTCCTGTGTTGCAGGCAGAGCCGCCAGACCAAGATGGGAGCTACGTAAGCACATGGGTGTGTGGGTCACAGGGTGGATGGAGCCAATCCAATCCAATGAGGCTGGCTGTCTCGGTGTCTGTCGTGTGTCACATATCCGTCACCTCTGTCTGCAGTGGACGGGAGTACTTCGGTGCCCGAGATCTGCGAGACCAAGAAGGACAACGTGACGCAGTGCGACGCCTTCTGTGGGGATGGCACGAGATGGCGCACAACTGCAACTATCAGAAAGGTCAGCTAGTCAGTAAGCCAAGAGGAAAGCAAGAACCCAACCCCCACGCAACATAACATCTCTCGCTCACGTGGCTGGCAATCTGTTGATCGGATCGATGTCAATCAATCAGCGTGCCGACAACGACGTGTGCGTCATCCAGAAGGAACCAGAACCTTGCAAGGCCGCCGAGAGCTGCCTCAGCGGTACGGCACGGCACGGCACGCTGTGATGCATCCATCCATCCATCGGTGACACTTTGGTGCGATGCATTCCTCCGTTGTGTTTGTTGCCCTTCCCTCCCTCAGAGTGTGCGCCTGGTTGTATGCGTGCCTGGGTCGGGGACGGAGTCTGCGACCCGGCGTGCTATGAAGCCAAGGCGTGCAACAAGGACGCAGGAGATTGCAGTACGTTGCACACACGAGCCGAACCACATACGGACGCACGATAGCCAGCCGTACATGCAATCCATTGTTGTCATCTTGTTCTCACATCAATCAGACGGCGTCCCCGATCCCACGACGTTGAAGGCGGCCTCGATAGACCCCATCCCGGCCCCCCTCCCAGACGACAAACTCAGCGAGTGCCACTACCTCCACGTGCATGGCGCCGTGTCGGGTGCGCTGCCGTACATTGGCCGACTGGACGTGTCTGGCTGGTACGCCATGCTGGATGAGTCTGCAGCCAGGGCGGTGGAGGCCATGGACGGCCACTGGGGGGCCAGTGAGGCGGCAAGAAGAAACGCATCATCTGCAGATCCCACTACTGTCGTCTTCGCCGGGCAACGGCCGGTACGCAGACATGACTGACACGTGCCCTACCCGGCCGATTGTGTGCGTGTGTGAGACCCTACATGCATCGCATCAATCACTACTCTTTCTTTGTTTCCTGGTTGGTGTCTGTCAATGGCGTGGCCCACCAGGTGTGGGTGCAGATCAACCTGGGGTTCCATCGCAACCGCCTCATGACCGTCCGCAGCCCCTCTCGCCGCCTCTACCTCTCATACTGCGCCCTCACGCGGCAGTGGCGGCTCTCATCGTCACGTCTCTCGTCTGCTGTGCGGTGCGGCGTCCCTTTCAAGGCCTACAGAGATGCACCTGAGATGGTGGCCGATGGCGAGGGCGGGCTGGAGGAGTGGGGGCTGCTGGGGGGCGGATGGAGGGCCAAGAACCTCAGCGAGCCCAACAGCATGGCCGTCATCGGCGCGGAACAGCTGAAGATAGACTGCTACGAGATACGCAAAAGTGAGAGACCAAGAGAGAGAGAGACAGGGAGACAGACAGAGCATATCCCCCATGCAAGCAACCCTCATCTTTACGTCCTTCGGTGTGTGGTGTGATGTCTTGCCAGATGTGTGCGCCTTCCCGAAAGACCCCAACCCCTCGGTGCTGCAGCTCGCCACCAGCAACAAGTCTGACCTGTCGCCGTATTTCTTCGGCACCTTCCGCCACCACCTCTTGTCCTGCCCCTCCGACCACTACACCTTCACGGGTGCGACCGAGGCCGTCTGCCTGCCAGACGGCAAGTGGCGGCAGGTGGGGGCCAAGAGGGGCGACCCATGGCCCCCCGTCTGCAAGGGGGACTGCCTGCCAGGCGAGTGGGAGGACTGGAACTGCTCCAAGCCGTGCGAGGGCGGCAGCAGAAACAGAACGAGACCTGTCAAGGTCAGGGACGGAGGGGAGGGTGGGTGTGGGCTATCACGTTTTGCAAGTGTATATATGTATATATACGTGTGTGTGTGCGTGTGTGCAGTGGAAGGCCAGTGGCGGCGGGAAGGACTGTAAGGCTGAGGAGCTCATAGAGATCAAACCATGCCACGAAGTGCCTTGCCGTAAGATCAACTCAAGGCCGTTCATTCCCATCGTCAGTCATTTATCTGTCCGCGTCTGCGTGTTGCGTATTGGTCCGTCCGTCAGCTGTCGATTGTGAGGTGTCGAGCTGGAGTGAATGGGGCGACTGGAGCCACAGATGCGGCCCATCAGAGCGATCCAGACACAGAACCATCAAGGTCACCCTCACACACACAGCACGGACGCCCACACGCACTTCACTTCTTTCCCCCTGCCTGGATCCCCATCTCCTTTCTCACCAGGTGAAGCCGCTACACGGTGGCAAAGAGTGCCCCGATCTCATTGGGAAGGAGAGCAAGGACATGAAGCCCTGCAAGCAGATCTGCATCCTGGACGAGTGCTCGCCGGGCGTCAAGAAGCGCATCGCCGTCTACTTCCAGTCCCCGCTCACCCACGGGGGCTGGGAGAAGTGGTGCGACATCCCGGCGATGAGCTTCCTGCCTGACAGGTGCTATTACCTCACCAACCCACAAACACGGGAGGAGATGGATGCCTCGCCGACCCCCAGCCCCTGGATCTACTACTACGCCATCGAGGAGGGATTCGACGGCTATGTTTTCACTCCTGAGGATGGGGCTGACACGGTGCTCAGCTGTGGAGAAGGGTTCCGGATGCCGATGAAGCAGACCACCGAGACACTCGACAGTGAGGAGGATGGCTGGCCTTTTGTCATCCGGCTGAAATGCCCAACTACGTGACGGACATCATAGGGAGTGGCGGAGCGGGAGGGGACAGGACAGGGGGGGGGGGGGGGG